GAAGAAATAAAAACAAGAACAGAACAACAAAACTAAAAACCATGTTTACATTCATATTTAAAAAGAAAGAAAGACAAAATGAGAGAAAATAAAGAAAAAAGAAGAAAACAAGAACAAAAAAATCCCACTTCAAGGTGTATCTCTGCTGTCACTGGTAGCAAGCCAGCATTAGCTTTATGCTGGGAGAGTAGATAATCCCAGCAAGCCTACATGTTTAGTTGCCCTGAAGTTCAGACTAGTTTTGGTCTGTGGGGCTGGAAGCAGATTTGCTCAGCCTGCAGCAGTTAGTGTGGTTCCCCGCCAGCTTTAACTCTGCTCCCTGGCCCTGTCACTAGAAGCCACTAGATGGAGCCAGGATGCAGCTGCTCTGAGTTCTCAACTCAGTTGGCCTCTCTCCAAGCTGGTTACCAACCAAGTGACCTTTCCTGGGGGACAGTTGAATTTGAATAACTCACTAGCCACTGCAGTTTGCTGCAACCTCAGTTCCATTCCACTGGTGCATTTCTCTTTGGAGGCCTTTGGGGTTGCCAGTAGTGCCTGCAAGTTCAAGCTATCACTCCCACTCAGCAAATCTAGGCTCAGGGAGAATCCACGGGGAGCCACCTCCTCTTCCTCCTCTGAAATCCCTCTCTTTGATCCCCCATGAGCTTCAATTCTCCCTTCAGATCCTTCCTGGGCCCTGGGAACTCCCTTTCTTCCTTCTCCTTCTCTGGACACCATCCCATTGTGTGGACACCAAATCTTGGAGAGGCTCTTTGCTGCTCACCATTCTGCCCTCCCACATTTTTTTTTTTTTTAGTTGAAGTATTAGTTCATCCTTTCCTCTGGTACTTTCCTTTCCCCTACCATATGCGTCAACTCTCCTTTTGTATCTGTGATAAACCAACCCTACTGTCTTCATTAGTTAACAATTCCTTTCTCAATCTTAAAAATTTCTACAACAACCCACTCTGGACCCTTCCTGTCTCTCAGGAGCTATTCCTACTCCTGTTCTCCATTCCTATTCCCTAATATGTTTTTCTACTCTTAAAAAAAAATCTTAAAATCTTCTAAAATGAGTAGTTGATAAATTTGTTATTTGCCCTGGCCAATGTTTTCCCTGGTTCCTTTAATCTTCTAGCAGTATTAGATGATCACCAAGGATATTTTTGAAAACAAATCTAATAACATGTTTTACTGTGGTCAAAGTCAACCACTTTCTATTCATCCAAATTGGTTCCTCAGTTACTCTTTATAACATAATTTCAGGTTATTGTCCTCTGACCATTCTCTTTCATTCCACTTCTTGTACCATCAATTAGTAGCTACTCTTCAAAAACTCAAGACTTTATAGTATAGCCATTTTGAAAAACAGTATGGAAGCTCTTCAAAAAACTAGAAACAGGGATGGGAAGATAGTTCAGCAGTCTAAGCACCTGCCTGGCGAACGCAAGGACCTGGGTTCGATCCCTGGTACCACATGCCGTGCCAGCCCTGGAACCCCAGGTGCACCATGTCAGCCACTGAAGAAACCATGCATGGTGGCACATGTCTGTAATCCCAGAGCTGAGGAGGCTAAGACAGAAGGATCACTATGAGTCCACCCTGCATAGCAAGACTCTGTACCAAATAAATAAATAAAAGATTTTAAAAAAACAAACTAGAAACATAATTCCTGTACGATCTGACCACCTCAAATACAGGTATATATTCAAAGGAACTAAAATCAGTGTTAAGAAATATCAGCATTCCAGTATTTATTTCAGCACTATTCATAACAGGAAAAAAAATCCATTGATAAAGAAAATGTGTTTCATACACACAGAATGGAATGTTATCCTATATATTCTTTTTTTTTTAATTTTTATTTATTTATTTATTTATTTTTGTGTGTGTGTGTGTGTGTGTGGCCAGCTCAGCCCACCAGGGGGC